AAAACGTAATATGTTGACGATTTGTCACCTAGCGTAAAATGTTACGCTTTGGGAGTGAGAACGTGTTGGGCTTACCATGTGTAGTAGTAGTAGGAATGCATTCCCACATTATTTTCTCTAATTAAAATAAGTAAAAGACATATATTTCAAATAAGTTCCTGAGGTTCTAAGGTCCTGTTTTTATATCAATCCTAAATGTTTCGCTTCACGTCTGCATAATCGCAAACCTACTCAAACACTTGCATTCCATTGCATTTTCATGCGTAATCCCTGATTTACTTGCAACATTTTCCTCCTTGGTGTTGGAAGGTTAGAAGCATTTATAATCAGCAGCTCTTGTGACGCAGCATTCATCACGTCTGGCATTGCTGTGGCCCCAGCAGGATCTGACCTGACAGGAATAAATGATGACGATCACCCAGCAAGGCACCCCATTAGCTAGGCACAAGGAAGCATGGCTGCTGATGGAACGGGAGGTGACTATCGAAGGCCAGAATTTAGCATTTTTTATCTCACTACCCAGCTGAGATGACTTGGTAAATAACAAGACTGACTAAAGCATTAGCTAAAACTAAAATACTGGATGGTTGTATAACCAGTTAAAATAAAATAAAAAAGTACTATATTTTTCTTTTATGGAGAGAATATGCGAGTATCTGCTTGAAAAGACCCAGTTATGTAGCTTTTTTCTCATAAGCTCACCGAGTGAGTAGTGGCTCAGCAGTGATAAACATGGTTTAAAATTGAAACTGACTGCAATAAAGTTCAGTATACACTACATCCTTCTCAGAGTGGTTTGAGCACTCTGTCCAGTAACCACCGGGCAACTTACCAAATAAGTTGTATGAAAAAATGAAGTTATTGATTTCTCTGAAGAAATGTGTTCAACTTAACTGGCTGTGATTCTCTGCGACTGTCGTGTCTCTGATCGTATTTTCTTTAGTTTACAACTGCTGTGGACACAAGTCCTTAAAGATGAAATCTGCCATTGTGTTACAGGTATTTTGTTTCGCTATTTCATCATTTCTTGTTATCGTTCAAAAATGTCTTCGGCATAAATTCATTAGTGAGTTTTATTAGTTTGTTGATGCCATGAGATGCAATTTGAATGAGAGGTACATATCATAAATCTGTCATGGCTCCCTACGTGATATAATCCCTGTGCTTAACTGTCCCTGCATGCCACGTTTCTCACTCTGGAGCTCGTGTGGATGCCGCACCTCGATCCTCTAAACTCATCAACTTTAGCTCCTGTCTGCTAATGAAGTAAGTTTGTCACTTGTCTCAAAAGCAGACACATCTTGGCCTAATTAGGGCTACTTCCAGAACACACAGCTTGATTACTGTACAGTAATGGTAAACTCATATGAGCCAAAGTTCTTGAAGGGACCTAACATAGGCTACAGGAAGTGTAATGTGGCCCAAAAGCTACAACATACCTGCAACAGTACCTGCATGCGACCCACCAAAGGTAACCCTGTGACTAAAGGCAGTCAGACTTACCCGATGAGCCAATGCTGTCATTCACGACTTGTTGTGGCCCAAAGAAGTTTGCAAACGTTTGTTGCTATCCGAGTACATTCCATTACATCCTGCTCCACAACACTTCTCACAGTTTTCCTCCCTCACCAATCAACCAAAGACTAACCTCCTCCTGTTGTCAATCTGGAAATAAACTCTTACATCTTCTAACATTTATTGCAACCAAGAGGGAAGTAATGTTTAGCTCAAGGCTTCAAATTGGGACTTCAGAAACCAGTGAGCGA